TCAGCTTGGGTCTAATCTCACAGTCATGAGGATCAAGCCCAGTTTTGGGATTCACACTCATCAAGAGTCTGCTTGAGTTTCTCTCTCCCTCTGCCCCCCAACCACATTGGCTTTTGCTCTCTCAAATAAATACATCTTAAAAAAAAAAAAAAACTACTAAGAACAGACATTGCTGTCTTGTTCCTGATCTTAGGAGAAAGCATCAATCTTTCACCATTACATCTGAGTACAGCTTGGGTTTTCTGCAGATGATCACACTGAACAAGTTTCTATTCCTAGTTTGCTGGGTATTTTTAATAATGAAAGACTGTTGGGACTTCTTAAAAATGCTTTTTCTTTATCTACTGAGATGACCATGAGATTGTTTTTTATTCTGTTGATATTGTATATATTAATTGATTTTCAGATGTTAAACCAACCCTGCATTCCTGGATTAATCCCACTTGGTCACAGTATATAGTAATTTTTATGTGGCTGGATTTGGTCTGCTGGCTTTTTTTTTTTTTTTTTTTTTTTTTTGAGGACTGTGGTCCATATTCATATGAGATATTATTAGTCTGTAGTTTTCTTTTCTTGTGATGTCTTTATCTAGTTTTGTATTAGGATAATACTGGCCTCAAAGAATGGGTTGAAAAGTTTTCCCTCTCTTCCATTTTTTGGAAGAGTTTCTAAAGAACTGGTTAATTCTTAAACTGGTAAAATTCTCCAGTGAAGCCATTTCAAACTAGGGTTTTCTTTGTCAATGGTTTCTTTTTTTCTCCTTTTTGTTTTTTTAAAGATTTTTATTTTTAAGTAATCTCTACACCCAAAAGAGTCCCATTCACCCATTTAGCCAGCCAGGAACCCCTGTCAGTAGTTTCTCTCTTTCTCCCCACCCCCCCCTTTTTTTTAACTATTTCCTTTCTGGAATTTTTTTTTTTTTTAAGATTTAATTTATTTGACAGAGAAGAGTGGGCACACACAAGCAAGGGAAAAAGCAGAGGGAGAGGGAGAAGCAGGCTCTTGTCTGAGCATGGAGCCCAATGCAGGGCTTGATCCCAAGACCCCAGATATTGACCTGAGCCAAAAGCAGATTTTTAACTGACTGAACCACCCAAGCAACCCGGTAGTTTCTTATTAGTAATTTAATCCCTATTTTGGATACAGTTTATTTACTTCTTCTTGAGTCCGTTTTAGTAATTTGTGTATCTCTAAGAATATGCCCATTTCATCAAAGTAGTCTAATTCATCAGCACACAACTGTTCAGTGTTCCTTTAAAATTCTTTATTTTGTATTGTAAGATCAGTAGAAATGTCCTTTCATTTCTGATTCTAGTAATTTCTTTTTTCTCGGTCAATCTAGCTAAAGGATTGTTAATTTTATCTTTTCAAAGAACCAGTTTTTGGTTTTATTGATTTTTCTCTATTCTTCTATTTTCTATTTAATTTTCATTTCATAATCTTGATTATTTCCTTCCTCTTTATTTTAGGTTTAATTTGCTTTTTTTTCTATTATCTTTAGGCAGATCATTATTCATTTGAGATCTTCTTTAAAAAAAAAAAAAGGTATTCATAGCAATAAAATTTCCTCTAAGTACAACTTTAGCTGCATCTCAGATTTCGTTATATTGTGTCTTCATCTTCATTCATCTCCCAGTATAAATTCCCCTTTTGATTTCTTCTTTGACCCATTTATTATTCAGGAGTGTATTGTTTAATTTCCACATATTTGAGTTTTGCAAATTCTTTTGTTATTAACATCTAATTTCATTTCACTGCAGTTACAGAATATACTTTGTATTATTGTTAGCCTATTAAATTTATGAAGGTTTTGTATTTTAATGGCTTAGCATAAAGTCTACCCTACAGGAGAATGTTCCACATATGCTTAAGAATATATTTTCTAATGTTAACTGGAGTGTTCTATAGCTATTAGATTTAGTTGGTTTATGGCATTGTTCAAATCTTCTGTTCCCTTGTTTATCTTCTGCCTATTCTATCCATTATTGAAAGTTGGGTATTAAGTCTTCAACCATTACTGTTTAAGTGTCTATGTCTCCCTTCATTTCTGGCAGATTTTGTTTCACGTATTTGAGAGCTTTGTTGTTAAATGCACCTATATTTTTATAATTGTTACATGTTAATCAATTAACTTTTTATCATTATTATAAAATGTCCTTCTTTGTCTCTAGTAGCAAATTTTGTCCTAAAACCCGTTTTGTCTAGTATCAAAAAGCCGCTCCACCTCTCTTTCAGTTACTATTTGTATTATATGTTTTTTTTCCTTTAACTTTCAATCTATTTCTACCTTTTGATTTTTTTAATCCACTTTTATAATTTTCAACTTTTGACTGGAATGTTTCATCCACTCACATTTTTAAATCCAATCTCATTAATTATTGACAGTGATTTACATATGCCATTTTACTTATTTCTTTATGTGTTATGCCCTTTTTTGCTCTATTTCTCCTTCAGTCTATCATTGCATTAAATGAATGTTTTATACTGTAGCACTTTAATTTCTTTAATGATTTTCACTATTTTTTTAAGTGATTTACTTAGTGGCTACTCTAGGACTTCCCATATACGTCTTACCAGAAATAGCTTCATATTTATACTAACTTAATTCCAAAGAGCTATAGGAACATTACTCCTATAGAGCGCTATTCCTTTTCTTCCCTTTTTGTGGTATTGTTGTATACAAATTACATTTATAAACATTACAAATTGCTAACAATTATTACTTTACATAATTTTATGTCTTTTAGAGCAACTAAGAGGACAGCAATTTTTGTAAGTTTTATTAATATAAATTCTTATCACTTCTGGCTTTCTTCATTTGTTCCTGTGGATTCAAATTATCATCTGGAGTCATTTCTTTAGTCCAGTGAAGTTCTGCCCCCATCCACCTCCTGTGTGCTGTTATGAAAAATATATATTACATTTCTATACATTATAGGCCAACAATACATTAGTTTTATACACTTACTTTTTATATCAGTCAACAAAACAAAGAAGAAAAAAATGACTGTCTTATAATTACCTTTACTGTTGTTCTTTGATTTTGTTGGTGTGGATTCAAATTACTGTCTAGCTCACTCGTCAGCCTAAAGAATTTCCTTTAGTAATTCTTGTAATATGAGTCTGCCAGCAACAATTCTCTCAGCTTCTGCTATCTGCAAATGTCTTTATTTCACCTTATTTTTGAACGATAGCTGTGCTGGATAGAGGATTCTTGACTAATACTTTTTTCTTTCTTTGAGCATTTTGAACATGTTGTCCCACTGCCTCCTGATTGCCACTGTTTCTGTTGAGAAGTCAGCTGTTAATCTTACTGGGGCTCCCTTATAAGTGACAAGTTGTTTTTTTCTCTCACTGGTTTCAAGATTTTCTCATTGTCTTGATCTTCCAGATTTTTAATATGATTCATCTATTTGTGGACCTCTTGCATGGTTATTTGGAACTCAATGAGCTTCCTGGAGGAGTAATGTTGTTGAGTAAATCCGGAACCTTTTCACCCATTATTGCTTCAAATACTTTTTCTGCTCCTTTCCTTTTCTCCTCTCCTTCTGGTTCTCCCATCATGCATATACTGGTGTGCTTAAGTGCCCCATATTTTTGTGAGGTTCTGTTCTTTCTTCTTCCTTCTTTTTCCTCTGTTCTTTGGATTGGAAAATCTCTACTGATTTATCTTCAAATCTGCTAACTTTTGCTACTGTCAGTTCAATTCTACTGCTGAGCCTACTAGTAAATTTTTTATTTCAACTATATTGGTTTAATTCCAGAAGTTCCAGCTGGCTCTTTTTCTTTATAATTTCTATTTCTTTATTGATATTGTCTATTTGATACAACATCATTGTCATACCTTCCTTACTTCTTTAATCATGGTTTCCTTTAGTTCTCTGAACATAGTTACAATGGCTACTTCAAAGTCTTTGTTAAATCTGACATCTGATCACTCTTAAAGGCAGTTTCTATTACCTGCTTTCCCCCCCCTCATATATGGATTATACTTTCCTCTTCCTCCACACGTCTTATATTTTTTGTTGGAAACTGGACATTTTAGAAAACACATTGTAACAACTATGAGTACTGATCCACTTCCTCTCCTGGGGCTTGCTACTGGTATTTGCCTGTTTTTGTATTTGTTTCCTGAATGACTGGATTATTTTACTAAAATTTGCATCCCCCTTTCTCCCATAATTTGAATTAATCAACTGAAGAAATGTGTTCGGTCCTGAATGCCACATTTGAAGAATACTAACAAACTAAAGCACACACAGAAGCAGCTTCCAGGATGGGGAGGGTTTCAAAATGTCACAGAACAAAAGGCTAAGGAAACTGATTATATCTGCAATTGATCAGAGTAATAGGATAGAAAGAACACAGAACTGCTGATTTCAAAGTTCTGAAGTGCTACTCTGGCATAGCTGACAAGCGGAGAAAAAGTCAGAGAACTTAGACAAACAAGTTGGAATTACATGGAATTTTTTAAACAAGCAATTCAACAATGACATATGCTACCTTATACAATAATGAGGTTTCCATTTTTAAACAGATTCTCTACTGTCACAACTGTTGAATATGGTATTTCTTGTTTGGGAGGGTAGGTTTGGGTAGATAATCCCATTTTCTATAATAATCAAGAAACCTGGCCTTGAATGTAGCCATTCTGATATAATGCAAAACACTTACATGTACATAAATATATATTACAAATTAACAATTATTCACTTCTTGAAAACAAATTATAAAGAAATATTTAAGAAACAATTAAGAAAAATTCTTAAACATGTCCCTAGCAGAGTTCCTCTGAGATTGCTATTTAAAGTATTCTCCTGATTAGTCACATATCTGGTAGATTACCGTGTAAACTACTGGGAGAATTACTTTAAATTTCTACATTCTCTCATGTACTTGCTTTAAAATATTAGAATAAAGTAATTAATTTACAAGAGTTACTCAGTTCTTACAAAAGTTTTTTTTAATGAAATAGTTTGTAACTGAGATCCATAACTCACCAGAAGAAATCTTACCAGCACCTTTATAGTCAATAGAAAATGCAGATGTGACTCCATTGGCCGACCCCAGTTCACACATGGAAATTTGATAAGGGGGCCTCAACTTGATTTCCATCTGCATGTCAGACAGATTTATCTTTGTTGAAAGAGACCTGGGATTATTATATCGCTGCTTGGTCCTCTGAATGAAGTTATCTATGCAAAATAAAAATAAATTTCCTTGCAGTCATTTGTTAATTAATTTAAGAGTGTGATATTTATAGAATAAATTCTGCAGATCAACAGTTTAATTTTTTTGTCCAAAAACTACTAAATCTGGGGCGCCTGGGTGGCTCAGTTGGTTAAGCAACTGCCTTCAGCTCAGGTCACGATCCCGGAGTCCCAGGATCAAGTCCCATATGGGGCTCCCATCTCCAAGGGCAGTCTGCTTCTCCCTCTGACCTTCTCGCCTCTCATGTTCTCTCTCACTGTCTCTCTCTCTCAAATAAATAAATAAAATCTTAAAAAAAAAAAAAAAAACTACTCAATTTGTCATGGAATATTCAAATATTATTTGTGTTTAATAGTTTATATATCATGGAGTCATCAGTGTTTCACTCCAGAAATTATATTCTAGAAATAATTATAAATAAAATAAGGATTTAACACTTCATGACTGTGAGACTTTCTACTATAATATTCCCTTCAAGGAATTATGTTAAATTAAAAAACAAACAAAAAAAAAACAGCTTTAATTTTAAACCAAAGTCTTAATTTTTATATGGTTTCATCTCTCATAAAATATTAAGTCTGTCAGTGTTTACCAATTGTAATTACATAAGAACATATGCTGTAAGTTGCATATTCTTAAAAACCTGTTATATTTATTGCTTTCACCATTAGAATGTATATTTTAAACAATGAATTTAGTGAAATCAATAAAAGACACTTTCTAAATATCTTCTGATTTTACTTTCATTATTTACAACTTGGTTTTACTTTTTTCTCCTCATACACCAGGAGTCAAGCAAACTAATGCCCAGAAGCCAAAGTGAGCCTGCTGACTGCTTATGTAAATAAAGTTTTATTGGAATATAACTATACTCATTCATTTATGTATTGCCTATGGCTGCTTTCAAGCCACAGTGGCAGGGCTGAATAGTTGTGACAGAGACCATATGGTCCTTAAAGTTTAAAATATGTACTATCTGGTACTTTCCAGCAAATGTTTGCCAACCTCCGTTCTACATTAAGCAGACTATAAAAGATTATCACATAAACACAGAACTCTGAATCTCTGGCTTATAAATTTCGCATTGAGAGATTGTCCCCTCGGATTAATTCTTTGTGCCAATAATCACAATCCCCTCCACAGCCCAAACACAATTTTTTTCAAATGGGCCAAAAGAAGTTGCCATAATTTATTGACCATTTGTCAAGTTATTCTATCAAAAGCAAGGTAGCAAAATTTTCTGAGTTTTCCCCCTGGCCCCCAGTATTATATGAAAAATCATTTATGATTGGATAGACACAGGATAATGAAAAGAAAAAAATCAGGCCCTTACCAAATTCAATGAAACAGTATGGTCTGACAGCAGTATTTGTCTTCATCATGTTATAAGTAGTAATGAACTCCTTCTGAAGCTCATCCAGGAAAGAGAAGGCCAGAACATTTGGGTAATTTTCAGTGCACAACATCATGTAGCTCACTCCCAAAGAGCTAATAAAACTACAGTGTAAAAAACATTCGTGTTAAAATTTCAAATTAAATCAAGGTAATTTGTTGCTTCAAAAGACTGGTTCTATACACCATAAATTGCTGCTACAGTGGCAATGAAGATATTAACATTTATTATATATTCCAGCAAAAAAAATAAGGAAACCAAAATATAATACTACTTTCAGTTGCAGTTAAAAACAGCAGATAAAAAACTGGAATGTACCTACAGAAGGACACACACTACCATTCTAACACTTCAGTTATTTATCACTTGGGGTAGAAAACCGGCAAAGAATATACAAACATACCCCTGGGGCAAATAATATATGTTAATAAAAATAATTAATAAATTTTTAAAAAGGAATACACAAATATATAAGGATTACAGAGAGCTTAACATTTAACTATTCAACCTAGTGGGACTTAATCCTGTTTGAATCAAGAACTCTTGGGGCGCCTGGGTGGCTCAGTGGGTTAAAGTCTCTGCCTTCAGCTCAGGTCATGATCCCAGGGTCCTGGGATTGAGTCCCGCATCAGGCTCTCTGCTCGCGGGGAGCCTGCTTCCTCTCTCTCTGCCTGCCTCTCTGCCTACTTGCTATCTCTGTCAAATAAATAAATAAACTCTTAAAAAAAAAAAACCTCTTTAGAGATTCTGGTTAAAGTTATGGACACCGTCCTCAGAAAACTGTCCACACACACAACCTGCCACACAATTTCAGGTTGGTCACTGACCTCCTGATGTCATCCACTAATTCCAGAAATAAATCCTCTACTTCACAGAATAATGAAGTATGAACCACTGGTTAAATACGAGTAATTGAGGAGTTTGTAAGAACAAGTAAGTGGAGTAGAAAGGAGAACTCTTGCTTACAACAGAATGCTGAGTTCCAACTGGTAAATGTGTAGGTAGTGCTTAACTGGAAAAATCAGCATCTTTGCAACCAACACAGTAAAGACTGGATCAAGCAAGGACAATCAATGAATGGTAAATCCAGGTGGAAATTTTGGTGAGGAGCAGGAAATTTTGCATGATTTAAAAAATGTCTTCCCGGGGCGCCTGGGTGGCTCAGTGGGTTAAGCCGCTGCCTTCGGCTCAGGTCATGATCTCAGAGTCCTGGGATCGAGCCCCGCATCGGGCTCTCTGCTCTCTAGGGGAGCCTGCTTCCTCCTCTCTCTCTCTGCCTGCCTCTCTGCCTGCTTGTGATCTCTCTGTCAAATAAATAAATAAAATCTTTAAAAAAAAAAAAATGTCTTCCCGTGGATTACTTATTTGTGGCAAAGGGAAAATATTTATTATACAGCAGAAACTAGATAACATCTTGACTACTGAGTACTCTAACATTACTAATGAGGGGTAGATGGAATTCCTGTGCCTTCAGTTGTGATATCCTCAGAAAGACATATCAGCTATATAGTATTCTAGCCAAGAATGCATAATCTGATTCTAATCCTGAAAGAATATCAAAATGATCCACATTCTATTTTTTAAAGGGGGGGGCTATATTAAAAAATCTCAATGTTGTAAAGAAGAAATAAAGGTTGTAAAATGTTTCTGATCAAAGGAAGCTAAAGAGACAATACTAAATGCAATACCTAAACCTGATCTAGATCCTGAGCCAGAGAAGGGGAAAATGCTATTAAAGGACATCTCTGGGTCAACTGACAAAAATGGAAAACAGGCAGTAGATTCAAGTAGGATATCAATATTACTAGGGCTGGTATCTGTTCCATTGTTAAGAGAATACCCTTAATCTTAGAAAATACACCTCAAAGTAGTAAGGAATAAAGGGGCATGGTATTTTAAGCTTCTCTCAAATGATTCAGACAAAAATAAATCAGATAGGAAGATAAAAACGATAAACTAAATGGAGTAAAATGTTAACAAAAGGTGACTCTGGGAATAGGTATTATGTATTATCATTCTTATTTATTTAATTTTTCTCTAAGTTTGAAATTATTTCTAAATAACAAGTTAAAAAATTTTTTAAAACTTCTAATTAAGCACTGAACTGTTCAAATTAGCCATGTTCTCTTGAAAAAAAAATTCTAAACTGTATAACCCCTTAAAATAATCAGGGAATGGGACACAGATTAACCCTTCTTAGTGAATCCTCTAAACATTCTTTTATAGAACTGTCAATGTAGATCATCTAGATCAGGGACAGCAAACACAGCACAAAAGTTATTATCTCTCACTCCTGTGAAAGACACTGCTAATCTAGCATAGCAATCTTTATTGAACAAACCCAGATCCAAAATGGATTCCCCTCCCTTCTTTTTTCTCTAATAATGTAGAAGTAGAATTTATTATTTTAAATTTAATATGTAGAATATATTCACATGGTTCAAATTTTAAAAACAACAAAAAATCACTACCTCCACCCAAAGATACTCAATTCTCTGTCCCTCAAGCAACTCATGTTGTTATTTTTTTTTAAGTCATCTCCACATCCAACATGACAACCCCAAGATTAAGAGCCATATACTCCACTGACCAAGCCAGCCAGGCACCCCAACTCATGTTATTATTAAATTCTTATGTATCCTTCAGTGAGAGTTCATGGATGCCTCCCTTCCTCCTTTCTTTTTTCTCTCTCTCTTTCTTTCTTAAAAGACCATCCAATGCAGCCAAATGATATGGGGTTGGCACCTATTGATCACTTATTATTAATGGTGTGGAATATACTACCGGAAAAATTGTGCTGGTTTTACAGCTTCTGGAATAACCTGGAATTCTTTTTGAAGTTCACTTAATACAGTCATTTGATGCAATGTTTTTCAAACTGCAACTTGTGACCTATTAGGTCATAAAATTAGTATAAATTACATAAAGCATTTTCTTAAAAATTGAAATAGAACATAAAATATTGGAATGTATATTGTTTCACAAAACTTTTTAGTTTCCTAGTTGTATATAATGTTTACAAACTAAAATGTATCTCTTGGGAAGCCTCTGTGGCTCAGTCGGGGTCCTGGGATCGAGTCCCATGTCAGGCTCCTTGCTTAGTGGGGAGCCTGCTTCTCCCTCTGCCTGCAGCTCCCCCTGCTTGTTCTCTCTCTGACAAATAAATAAAATCTTTAAAAAAAATTTTAAAAAATAAAATATATCTCTTCTTATGAATCATAGTCAAAAAAGTTTAGCCATACATATTGCATTTTTCTATGAAATTAGTAACTAAATCAAAGGGCAAAGTATGTTTTTCCCAAACAATTTTCTCTTTCCAAAAACTCTTCACTATCATTACAAAAATTCTTTGACATGTCTTTAGCATTCAAACATACCCCCCAGTAACCTGGGGGATAAAACACAATTGGTGACTGCTTACCTCACACTCAAACACCCAAGTAGCTACCTAGGAATTGTTTTATTATCCTCCAAAAATATGATTGAAGCTTTTGAACTCGGACAAGTTTTTGTGTTATTTGTATTTCCATATTAATATAAAGTGAACCACAGACACATACGTGATTTTATCCCAGTTTCTCTTGCTTGCACTTAGTTAACTAGAGAATTATTTGTGAAATAAAGGGAAGCCTGTGTTTTTAAGATTATATGTCAGCATTTTCAGAGAGTCTTTCTTTCAAAGACTTTAGTTTACTATAATTATGTGATAGTCTCTGAAAAGGCCATAAGTACTCTATAGTATTATGGTTTTTCATAGTGAATTTAGTCTTATGCTATTGTCTTTCTTTGAAATGCAAAGCCAGTTTTCAACAGTACATACAAGCCTTCTGTTATCAAAAAACTTCTGGCTTTCAACTATCACAAAGACAAACTCAAAGACTCCCATCCTTTCACGGAGAATTTGTCATATGAAATAGTCTAAAGTCACTACAGGCATGCCGGTTTGTGCATGCATTAGCCTGTCCGTTAGATTCATTTAGCACACCTTTCACAGACAATCTGGCTGTTGTCCTTCTGCCTTGAGGAGGAGGAGGAGTAACAGCAGCAGGTACAGTTTACTGACCATTTAGTTTGAATGAAACCCTCTGCTAAGTGCTTTGTGTATGTATTTTATTTAATTTCATTCTCACAATAAAGGGGCACTACTATCTCCATTTTACAGATGACAGAAGAGAGGCTCAGGGATGTTTAGTAGCTTACCAGGGCTACAAACACCATTAAGAAGCAGAGCAGGGTCAAACTTAGTTCTAACTTCAAATCCCACATTCTTTCCCAACATAACACTCAACTTCCCCATGTTCTAGATAAACCAATTATGTGCTAATTCATCAACAGTTCCCCCAACTTTTTCAAGCCACAAATCAGTCTCTGTATTTTCCCTCTAATTAAGAGTAATGAAACCTCAGGATTTGGGACCTTGTATCAGGATATTCAAGAAGCTCTGTCAACTCCTCTACTTCTTGTGCAACTCTACTCCTCCCTCTCTACATTCTAGCCACACTAGTGTTATTTCAGATCCGAAGGATACCAATGTACTCCCAGTCTCCAACTTCCAATCTGAGAAACTTCACGAATTCAGTCTTCCTCACTTGCAATGCTCCAACCCAAACCCATCTCTACCATGCTCTAATTCTGATCTGGCTAATCCTATTCATCCTTCTTGGAGTTAAAGTTCCTCCCAGAGCACGCAATCTAAATCGATCCCACTCTGGGGCACCTGTGTGGCTCAATCCACTGAGCATCAGACTCATGACTTTGGCTCAGGTCATAATCTCAAGGGTTGCAGAACTGAGCCCTGAGTCAGGCTCCATGACCAGTGGGGAGTCTGCTTGAGATTCAATCCTTCTCCCTTTGCCCCACCCCCTACTTGCTCATACTCTCTCTAAAATAAATAAATAAATCATAAAAGAAATAAAATAAAAATTGATCCCACCCTTATGGTTGTTATATCATAGTGGTTACTATTTTTCTTCATGTAATTAAGCCAATTTGTAATTATATATTTATGTTTATTTGTTCTAACGTCTTTGACTAATATCTATGTCCATTGGAGCAGAGATAATTTCTATACAGCTCACCACTGTATTCTTAGCAACTAGTTGGT